CTCTCTCTCTCTTCGATCTGGCACAGACAGAAACAAACGAGCTATGGCAGGTTTTTGTGTTTTGTATAAGATGATTGCAATGAAATGTCTCCATGCTTGTCTTTGTTTGATAATCGTGATGCGAATGAAGTTCTTTCAATTTTGTACGTACCCGAATTTGTGGTTATCGTAGGTTCCTTGTACAGGGCGTGCATTCGTAGGGACGTCGCCTTTTTTCGTTTTGTTTTCGCAGCCCGTCGCATTGCTGATGGAGACAGGGAGGGGAGCGTGGACGGTTCTAGCGGGTTGCGTTCGGCGGGCAGGGTGGGGGTTTGGCAGGCCTGGGTTATTCATGGCGGGGGGGTGCTGTCCCACGATGTCGTCTTTTTTGGTCATTGGTTGTCTTGTCGCCCGATGCAAGTGGGCACGACGGTTGACTGTTGTCCGCCGTGTTTTGGGGAAAACATACAAACTGCAGATTGCCAAACGATAGCGTGCCATCACTCCTGCCCTGCCCCCACGACCACCATTTCGTTATAAGTACCGAGGCATCGGGCCACACCGCAGTCATCGGAAAGCGTGCGTGTCATGTTCGCGCGGCGTCGTGCTTTCGTCGTCGCATTGTAGCTTCAGCGCGCCTCCAGGACATCTTCTCGCCGCCACCCCAACGCCCCCCGCCTCTTTCATGCGCACCTCCAGGACATCTTCTCGCCGCCTTGAATTTCGCCAGCATCACCGTCGGCGCCATCGCTGTTTTATCGCCGTGTTTTGCGAGCGCCGCCAAGTAATCTTCTCGCCTACTTCGACATTACTTGCCATCAAGCGTGCTCTATGTGCGCCACCATCTAATCTCGTCGCTGCCTGAAACCTCCGCCAGTATAAACATCGACGACCTTCCTATCGTGCGTCGCGCCATCGTATCTTCTCGCCGCCATCTGCTTTCGCCGCCATCAACCACCACTCGCCGTGTGGTACTGCGCGCCGCGGAAAGATCTTCTCGCCGCCATCTCCGAGGTCGACGGATCCACGTTCTTCTTACGCGCCTTCCATTCTATCTTCAACACACGACGCGCAATGTCTTCTCGCTCCGTTCCATCTCGGAGAGTTCTTGGGAAACAAGTCAGGGAAGGCGAGGTCGCACCGAAGAAAGGTCGCCACGATCCCGCGAAGAGAAGAAGGGGCGTCAAAGGCGGGAAGGCCGCAGTTGGGAGAGAGGTGGAGGCAGATTGGGTGGATGCACAGGAGAGACAGGCGGAGGGCGATGACTTCGAAGAAGTAGACGAACAGACTCTCGTGAGGAAAGTGAAACAAAGAACGGGGGGTGCGATACGGATCGAAACGGGGGGGGTGGGCGCTGCGGAGGTGGCTCCTGATCAGCAGCAGACGCCGTCGAGTAAGCGGAGCGAACAGGCTGTTGGCGTGGCTAGCAGTTCCCAAGTTGTGGTCGACCAGTCGACGATGCGTTCCCCTGCGCCGCAGCCGCGCGGGGAGGCAGTTCAGGGTGCGTCAWCCRTGGCGRACGTTGCGAAGGCGGGCGATGRCGRGGYGGCGGGCGAARACGACGAACCGCTAGTGATGAAGCTTCGCGGGCAACGTCCGGAGGCGAAAGCGATGGAGGTGGCCGCGAGGCTATGGACCGACGACATTCGGTTCTGGAATCAAACGCGGGGAAAAGAAATCATCGACATCATGCACGAAGCCYRAGTTCACCTCTTTGATGTGGCGACGGGGGTGCAGCCATCGGCGATCCGAAGGAGCATCARCCTCCCCCATAGTTCCATTCCGCAGAAGAAGATCGAAGAYGCCTCGGAGTTGAGGGCGGYRAAGGAAAGGGCGTTAAAGGTGGAGAGCATTGCGAAGAGGGCCATCCACGGCTGGATTTTCAAGTCCGACAGCAGACACAAGGGGTATCACTTGGMGTACCAGWACGCCTTGAACCACGCGGCGACTGACATGGCGAGAGCGATGTGGGCATTGGAGGACTGGCGTTCGTTAGTCAGCCCGATGGCGATTCGAAACACGCTGGAGTTGGGTATGAAGCTCCCTTTGTGGTTTGTCGGAGCGAACGTGGTGGACAAGCACCAGGACGACGAGTGCGTGCGCGATTTCACGAATGTGGTGGAGGCGGCGCAGGCGATGGACTCGGGGCGTGTGTCTTACGAGCGCCTGAAGTCCCTAGCTGAGGCGATGAGGTACTTGCTGGCGGCGGCGTGGATAATGAGGATGGTTGGGGACGACACAAGATCGCACTTCGACGCCTGGGTTTTCGTGCAGTTGACGTCGAAGACCACCCTTCTTGTTGCCATGGATCGCCATTTTGACTCCCGTCGTCATGTCTTGCTAGCCGCAACTGTGATGACGGAGAAACTGGGAAGACCGCCTTCGACCTTCGCTCCCCCCCCACTGTACATCCCCGACTGGGCATCGAAGTGTGGCGTCACGTTCAATCACGACGCGACTTTGTCCTCCTCGATGGAAGCAACGAAGACGGATTGGCTCGGCACAGGCCCCCCTGAGGAGGAAGACTCGGACGACGACGATGTTGATGGCGCCGAGGGCGGATAGTGGGAGTGGAAGTGGATGGACTACCGACGAGGGCGGGCGATCGTTCGTGGAAGGGTTTAGTAAACGTCGGGGGCGAGGGTGCGTCATCCGTGTGCACAAAGATCATGACGGTGGGGGAAAGACGAAGACAAAGGTGAAGATGGTGGCAGTGCAACATGGACTGGATCGCCAGAACAAGACCCCCTTTTTTGGATGATGACGACGACGACGAAGATGATGATGGCGGCGAGGGCGGGTATCTGCAGCGGGGAGACTATCGATTGCCGTCGCAATACCACCATCGTTGTTGCGTCCTTTGCCGGGGCTTTCACGCTAGGAGTCGCGCTTCCTGTCCCTGTTTTCCGTGGTTCGTTTTCTATCGATTTTCCGTCTTGCACACCCACACCACCGACGATCGATCGGTTGGTAGTGCACCTAGTTTGCGTCGTTCGGTGTCTACTATTTAGGTTGTCAAGTGGACGGCACATGTTTTATCTTCTTCGTAGGAGGACAGACGCCTTTGTGTGTTTCGCTGCCAGCGCCGTGTATATCATTTCGTAATCGTCTTTCACTTTCCGTTCACTTTCTCTGCGTCCTCTTCCTGCATTCGTTGTGGATTATGAAGAAGCGGAGGCTTCGGTTCTGTACACGCTGATCGGTTTTAACGCGCTTCGAAGTCATGTTCCAATTGACAAGGGAAAACAACGTTGTTCTTCTTTTTCATTCGAACAATGGATTCGTGTATTTTGTGGGCGATGGGACAACCGTCTTTGTTCTGGGCATATGTTGTGTTCACCGGGATGTGTTATGTTAATGGGACAAGGGTTTTGTAATGTCCATGGAATGATGTGTTCATTGCTGACGGCGACACCGTGCATTCGAAGGATGAACTATACCTTGAAAGGAACAAATAGAACGATATTTCGTGCATTCACGCATTCTGATCACACACACACACACACACACACACACACACACACACACACACACGCTCTGGCGTGAGCGGAAATACGTGACACAAGCTTATAAAAACATCCTGAACGAAAACACATTGCAAAATGAAGACTGCATTCCACATCGCAACAAACATTCAACGAAAGAAGATCATCAAGAATAAGGGGAAGCCTTCCAAGGTTTCCAACGAGTTCAGTTTGTAATAAAAGTAGATGGCAGCTCAATCGCCGTCCTTCGTAGACCCCCTCACCCCCCGCTAAACCCTCAACTGCCCAACCAACGACTTCCCGTAATTAAACCTCCCACCAAACTCAGTCTTCACCACTACTGTGCGGAACAACAACTATGAGTTCCGCATGCCGCAGATCACCACGAAAACGAAAGACACTCACTTCGACTAAGGTTCAGTTAACCACTTGTGCCGTGGAAACAGCACTGCTACATACATGACGACAGAATGGAAATACCGTGCAAAAAACGGCAGTGAGGATCGACCATCTACGGCACAACTGCTACATGCTAACGGGAAGACGACAACCTGCCGGATGAGTGCTCCGAACAACCCCGGGGAAGAAAGCACATTGTGCTTGACGACGACCAAACAAACTTCCGAACGGCAACACACTGGGAGGGCTTCAGTGCCGTGTTCTTTGAGCACCTTCAGTGGATACGGGAGGGCGTACCTCCCTATCGTTCCTGGCGCATCATCTCTTCGGTGCCTCCCCACTTCAGTGTGCTCCGATATCTCGCCGCATCACGACCGTCTTCGACTCTCCACTCCCACAACCACCCATCCTCACTGCGCACCCATCCTCTCCGCCAACGCATCCCGCAAAATGAGCGCGTCCCTGGTCGACAACTCCATGCAAACAGGACGCAGCGGCGCATGCATGCCCAGATCCACCCTGCGTCGGACGCCATCCGGATCAACCTCCCACAACAGGTTGTCGTCGAAGGGAATGCCTGCGTCGATCAGTATGTTGTGGAGGATGCACACCGCAATGAACTGTTGCGGCAACGTGTCCATGTTGCACTTGTGCGTGCGCAGGAATAACCTCCACATGCCCTTCAATCTTCCAAACGCCCTCTCTACCGCTCCCCTCGCCGTCTTTTGGTTGTTGTCGAACCGTGCCTCCGTGGGATGCTGCGCGAGACCTCCATACGGGACGACAATCCATTCCGACTGGGGATAGCCGTTGTCGCCGAGCAAGTATCCATTTGTTCGGACACCAAACGACAGCATGACATGCGGGCCAGTGAAAAGTTGTCCAGACTCCGCGCGCTCCCACAAACTGGACAGATGTAACATCCTCATGTCATGCACGCTGCCAGGGTAACCGACGAAGACGTCCAGCACACGCAAATTCATGTCGACGACAACCTGCGCCTGCACAGAGAATCGCCTCTTCCGATCACAGTAGTCCTCCCCGTTCGCGTTGGCGGGTTTGTCCACATAGATGTGGGTGCAGTCGATGCACCCGTGGCAATTTGGAAATCCCTTGTCTGCAAACGTGCGCAACACGAAATTCTTTACCAAATTTAAAATATAAAATAAAACTTTAAAATATTTCTTAGTTCTTTTATTTTTAAAATCTTTTTGGCCCGGCCGGGCAAGTGACCTCGGGCCACTCTGTTAGCCTAGGTTTGAACCATGATGCTCAGGGAAAAATGAAAAAGGAAAGAAAGAGAGATGGGTACTCTCCAAGGCTGCATGGCACACATGCTGCTGGCAGTTCTTTCTTTTTTCTTTTTTAAGAGGGCGACGGACTGAAGATATCATCATGGAGCTGACCGGCCCCAGGTCATTCAGAATTATTTTATTCTGGTCATCTCGCAGCTGGATTCGCACTTGGGTCCGTATTTTAACAGTTCATTGGGTGTACCAACTGAGCTATGCCTCATCCTTTTCACGAACGGCTAGGGAGAGATCCGGGTTGGCTGGTGTTCCCCCGTACTATACAGAGACTAGCGAGAGGATGAGATAGATGAGTACTAGCAAGAAAAATGAGATAGATGAGAGAAGAATATAGCTTACTTTTCAAAAAAAAAAAAAAAAAAAAAACAGACTGCAGGCAGAGGAGCAATTTCCTACCCTCCGAAGAAATAGGGGGCGGGTCATTTTACCGACTGGCTTAGCTCAGTGGGTAGACCCCACATATCACCTGTTGAAAAAGCAGACCTGAGTTCGAATCCCGATGGAATCACAGCAGTGAAAACTTAAAAGTACCTCTGAAATTGCCTGGGACTGGTCAGTCGAGACTCCAAAGATGATCATAGCTCGACGCCATCGCCCTTTTTTTTTAAGAAAAAAAAAAAAGAGTTAAAAAAAAGGAGCTCCCTCATTTTTTTCAGTGATGCCTTAAACCACCAATATTTCCTTCTACTTTATTATCTTATCTTATCTAATTTTATTTAAATAATAAATACTAAATCGTAAATACTATATTCGGCAAATTATGGTGGAGAAAACAGGGAAAGGGTGATTTGGCTGGAAGAGCGAGAAGAGCGAGAAGAGGGAGAAGAGGGAGAGAAGGGGGCCACGCCGGTAGCCATGGACGTCGTCTCAGGCTCTCAGCTATAAAATAGCATTATAGCAATGGATATCAAATCTCCATTCTCGGCTATTCTGTTGACAGAATAGTCTCCCAGGGCGGAGTCCCACTACTGCCTTCACCCGAATAGAACGCCCGGTCATTATCGCCGCATCTGGACCGAAAGTTGTGCCAAATACAAATACAGCTATAATGACCGGGCATTCTATTCTGGTGAAGACGGTAGCAAAGAGGATTGGATTAAGCACCTGAATCTGGATGTGTTTTACGCTGAGAGATTTTCTGCACCTCTCCACAAGTATTATGTCCAGATTCAGGTGTTAATTCCAATCCTCTTTGCTAGTAGGACTGCACCCCCAAAGCCACACCCCCAAACCCTAATTTCAGTTCGGGACCCCTTAGTCAGGAGCTGAAAGTGGGGGTCCTGGTTAACCACCTGTGGGTGCAGTCCCAGGAGGGCGAATGCGAGGGAGAAAGAAAGCAGGAGAGACGGAGTGATGACGAAGGGAGGAGGTACATCACCCCGCCAATAAATAGATCGAGCCTCGCTAATGGAAAATGGCGGTAGACCTACCTACAGACAAAGGTCCGCCCACACCTTCCCCTCCCCCCCCTCCTCCTCCCCCC